TTTTTATATAATATATCTTTTCTTCAATAAAGAACATTCAAATTAGATACTGTATTCATCCTGCTTGTTCATGTCAATGTTTAGAATTTTTACATGTGTACTATGTATATGTCCTACATATATACATACGTGTAAGTATCTCTCTGGTGGTGGTAGTATATATACATATATGTATCACGATCAGGCAGGCAACCGTACAGAATATAAAATATATAGATTGTATTGCTGGCAGTACTGGGAGCTGCGAGCTGCTGGGACGATGAGAGGTTAGAGAGGTGTGGCAAGTTTACGGGAAAGTATTTTCAAAGTTCATAAACAAACATTTTAAACGCGGATCTTCGATTTCAGTACGAGGAATACTGAACGATCAACATGTCCGTCGATAAACAAGAATATCACCGCGCATCGAGTGAGCGAAATTAATTTTTATAACACAATGATTGATTACCGATTGTAATTAATGCTGACATTTAATTGCACCTTTTTCCTTAGACGCGGTAGTGTTTGGGGGAGTAATTACATACATTGCAGGATTGCTGCTGGTCATGGCATTTACCAGGTATTCAAATAATTAATGTGAAAATAAAATTTCTCAAGTACTGATCAACATTTTCTTCAAGCACCCATTGCTTTGTATAAAAATATATCTCGATCATTTAATTTCAGTCCCTACTGGATCGAATCTTATCAAGAAACTTTTAGTAATTTCAAGCATATGGGACTTTGGGAATATTGTTTCGAGAACTTTAGATATCCATACTATCAATTTGACAAGCAGTTCAATGGATGCCATCACATTTTCTCAGAAGAATACTACGTGATCAGGGAATGGTTGCTACCAGGATGGTTAATGGTAGTGCAAACATTTGTCACGATAGCTCTTTTACTCTCATTCTCCGCACAAGTCTTAATTGCATTGACTTTAATTCGTTGGCCTTTGAAATTTGTGTTGAACAACGAGTGGCACCTCTCGTCAGTCGCTTGTTTGTGTTGCGGTGTAGCAGGTAAATATTTTGTACATTGTACAGATTCTGTGAGAAAGATCATCTTACGAGCTTTAAACGATTTCCTGATTTCAGGGACTCAATTGTTTTTCGCGGTGTCTATATTCGGAGGCCAATGTTGGCGCAGAGATTGGATGATGTATCCGAACTTCAATCATTTATCATGGTCATACGGTTTGGCTGTTATCTCGTTCATGTTTCACTGGTTGGCTGCATTTTTCTTGTACTTGGATGCCAGGGCTGGATATAGGATGCGCAAGGAGTCTCGGAATTTGGTGATGCAAATGCAGCCGCCTAGTATACACAGCCACCAAGGGCTGTCAAGAGCGGGATACATCTGATTCGTCGCGTCACACTCGTAGTTCTCGAAGATGAGTTAAACGCAGGAGGATGTTTAGTATTAACAACGAACATAAAGTTTATAGATCTGCTTTCGAGGTCGTTCAATTGAATTCTGACCGATACTATTTTAACTCCGTCCATTTTTTGAGAAGCATTTTTATATTTCCGTATTATAATTAAAAAAGTATTTTATATTTATACGATCACGAAATTCGTATTCGAAGATTATTTTAATAATTACCTGTGTAATTATGACTTCGTATTGTATATCATGTTGTAAAAATGTGGTCCACACCATATGAGATTAAACTTTTTCAATAAACTGATACACGAACGATACTAGAATGTATAAAAACACCTACCTGGAATTTTCGAGTGCGCCGCAAGGTCCAGCGCGTAGCGGATCGTATCTAAGGGTAGATTGCCATCCAGAACAATGATGCTCGCGTTCTCCACTAGTGACTGATGTTTCTTCATCAAATCCGGATTGATGCCCGCAAGCACTTCCATCTCACCGATTGCGAAATGACACTCACCCTTATAGTCGATGATCACGGTACACCTTAAATTAGAAGGAAAGTATTCATTGAAACGCAAGACCAAGCAAGAAAATATGAACGTTTCTACGAGGGAAGGAGGAGAATCCTCGGATTCAGGGTGCCCACCAGGATTTTCTCTAATCGTAACGAACCTTGAACCCGGCAAATTGGGTACTCGAATTTCCTTCAGATTTATTTATCGTCAATAATGCGGCCGGCGAATGATATTTTCTCGGTGTAAGTTTAATTCAATAGAAATTTATTAGAATTCAATGTATCTAATTTATTGTTATGGAAATCGTATGATCCCGACGAAGGGGAAGTAAACGCGTGTATTTAGGGACGGGACATAAAAACATCTCGCCGTCTGTTATACCTAGCTGTATTCATATTCGACAACTGCTCGATGGTTTTTCCGGCATCTCCTAGACTTTTAATTATAGCTTTCCCAGGCTGGTCGTTACCAACGACGGATATTAACCGCGTAGCGTTCAGACCAAGGCTGATCAAGGCGTTGGCGATATTTCGTCCGACCCCGCCGCAACTTTCTCGGCTTCTACCGGCATGCGTTCTACCGTCGTCCTGAAAGAATACGTCGATTATTGATCCGGAATATGGAAAAGATGCGCCGCCTCTAATCGCGCGTCGAACACCGCGGAGCTCGATTGATCGATCATCTTCGAATTCTAGATGAAACCGTTCAGCCATCAGGCAATTAGCATGCTCGACCGTGTAAACGTTTCCCTATTAAATCCCACAGCACAAAAAGTGTCCCTTGACAAAGGGCCGAGAGGGGAAAGAATTTTTCAGACAGGATTCATCGGTGTAGAAAATCTTATTTCATATTCCTATTCTTTTTCTCGACACATATGAACCTAGATATGACTTACGAATATTTTATAACACAGATGGGCTTTGCCGTTGTCGATCCATTGACCATATCGATAACACGTGTCGCCTCGAGGACGTCCCGTTGAAGGGATTAATTTTCTCCGCCTCAATGTCAAGAATGAAACTTGCTCGAGTTTATTTCACGTTATATGTATGTATATCTCTCGTCGTCGCAACGATTCAATTACGGGACGAGCATTTCGTATGGAGGTACTTGTAAAGTAATGTAAACTCATCGAGTAGAAAGCTAGGGCTTCGTATTATTCAATCCCTGTACAATAGAGACAGGCTCTTCCCTTTAATTCTGTCAGTTTTCCTGACGTTCTTTTTCTACCTCAAATTATTTTTTATTGTCCTTTTAATTTAATTATAATCCACAGTTTCCACGTTTATTCATCTTTTAACACCTTCCTCTCTCAATGCCCGGTTATTTTCTATTTCAGTTTTTAATTATCTCTACCCCTTTTACGCATTCTTCTCGCCTTACTTCTTTATTTTTACTTTAATACCTTTCGTTCTTCACATTGTCACAAGATCTTTCTTTTCACGATTTGTCGAATCGCCTCTGAATTTCTCCCTCTTGTTTCCTTCAAATACTCTCCCATCCACCTTTACCTCTTTCCCGTCCTCTCCTTACGTCCGAGGCTTTTTCTGTTTAATTCTACCTGTCTCTCGTACTCCACGGATCCCCCAAATTACCTTCTTTACTCAGAAGCCAATCTTATCCTTTCCTGACATTTTCCCGCTACCCATCGCACTCCTAGTACCTCCTCCAATCTACCAGTCTCAGCCAAATCCACTTACATCATACCCCCCCTTCTTCCCATGTACCTCAGCAGATTTCTAATCTACCCTTTCTTTCAGAAATACCGTTGCTATCTCTTCTTCCCTCTCCCACACCGTATTACGCCCTTCGTTCTTCTTTGTCTTTCCCAGATTCCATATCCGCTTTACCCCTTATCCCCCAAACTTTCCTATATCTCATCCTCTCCCACCTCGATCGCCGAGTTCCTCCTTCCCATCCATCCACGTTTCTCTTCTTCGTCGCTCCTCGTGCCTCCGTCCTCGGATATACTCGCCACGTTACACGAGCTTCCTCTCCTCCCTGTTTTCTCTCCCCATCCGACGGGAAGCGAACTACCCTCCACAGGTTCTCCAGCACCACCCCTTCGCCACGTTTCTCCTCCGCGTTTTTCCACCCTAACACACAGACACCGTCGAGTCTGACTCCCCTCCAACGGCACCGTTTCTCTCCCGTGTCCGCTATACGCCGTCGCCTCGCTCGTGGATTCTCTCCCTCTCGTTTCATCCCTCCCGATGGCAACCGGACCCGATCGTCGATCTCTGTTTGGTCGGTGGTCGCGCTGTCTGTCGTGCAAGCGGGAGACTCAGTCCGGTTGCCTACCTCGGGCGCTGTTGACAGCCACCCCCGTGCGCGAGGAACTCTCTCTTCCCGATGCCAGCCGCGCGCGCGTTACCGCCGCCGCCGCCGCCGCCGCCGCCGCCGCCGTTCTCGTCGTCGTTCCTCTTCCGCTACAGTGGCGAGACCCCGTGACAGTGGCCGTCTTCCTCTCTCCCTCATTCTCTCTCTCCGTCGCGCGAGAAACTCCCGGACGAACGCGAGAGCGCTGTTTCGTTCTAAGATTTTTAAATCGCAGAGACGTTCCCGTGCAAACAGGCACGGTTTTCGCCCAGTGCATTGGTGAGCAACGACTTCCAGCAGTGTGAACTCGTCGCGAAGGAAGAAACAGTTCGTTCGTTCGGTTACACGGACTGTACGCTCGTCGCCGACCAAGGGTAAAAGGCAGCTGGAGAACGTCGGGCGGCGATGATGAGAGAGCGTACGGCAAATCGTGCGGGATCATGGTGGTGAACGGTAGTAGCAGCAGCGGTAGCAGCAGAGGCAGAGGCAAACGGCGAAAGCCAGCGCTGCTGGCATGAACGAGGAGGACAACAGTCCCGACGAGGCTCGCGATCGCGATGCGCGATAGACGTGACGCGAACACCACGTTCTCGCCGAACTCCCGACACACGTCCGAACTCTGTTCACGATACGTGACACTGGTGATCTTTACCTGGACGACCGTGTCCGATTCACCGAGGTGTATCGCGACAGCCTAGCGCGCGTCTAAAGGTCAGTAGCGAAACGTCCGAGGAACTTCTCGAAAGATCTCGCTTCTTCCCTTTTGCCCTCCGGTAGTGTTCACCGATTTTTACCGATCATGGTCACGTGTGTGCACCACGGAATGTCAATGGTAACACCATCGATGAGTAGCGTACGTATCGTCCTTGCGTTGATCGTCGCTCCCTGAGGATCTGGCTGTTTATCGGCGTACGGAGACGTCGTTCGTAATTCCGAGACGATTAAGTCTAAGTTCCCTGGAGAAACGTTTCATTAGGATATGACGGTTAAGGGTGCGAACGGATCGAGGCCGTGGCGATCGAGGCGGGGCCATGACAGTGGTACAGGCGTGAAATGAATCTACGTTTCGACGATAACGTGATAAAAGAGAGAGCGTATCCAAGAGCGACGATAAATACCTTCGGAAAGGTCGGGAGGAAGATTGCATAACGTCCAACCCCCTCCTCTGGTTCTCGGTTCGTTTCGGTCCTCTTCCTCGTCTCGTCTCGTCGCTTTTTCTCTCGTTCGCGTAACCAGCCAACATCCCCTTCAAACGGTAACAAACATTCCCGCCGATAGTTAATTAAAAGCTTTTTCGCACAAAGCCGCTCCTCTTCTTCCTGGCCATCCCCCGCGTCCGCGCAACCCCCTCCTACTCTTTCTTTATCTCCGCCAGGCGTACCAAGGAATTTTAATTAAAAAACAGACACCGACGGACCTATTCTGTGCGAAGGCATCCGCGGTGTCATTTAATTCACTGCACAAGGTCAGGTCTCTCTCCGCCCCCTGCCCCTCAAAGGCCAGTTCGTCCCTCTCTTTGCGTTAACGCGACACCGAATTAAGAATAAACCGTGTATCGTGGGGATCGATCCTCGTCTTTTTTTACCGGCCAAATGTACACGCGACTGTACGTTGACCCAGGACCAACCTCTCGAACTCATTCCTCTTGACAGACCATTCTTGATCTTTTAATTGACCTTAGAAACGTCGCTTTGTATGCAAAGGCTTTGAACGTATCATTAGGGATTTGATAGTGGAAATCTGTCGACTCGTAGACGGTCGAAGCTCTTCGTGTATTTGGGCAAGCGCGCGGAGGGCTTAAACGATCGATGGGCCCTTAACTTTCTACCGCGTTTCGTTACAATGCACTACTCTCTTCAATCCTGTATGTACAACATCAATGCACGAGAGAGGATACTTTTAAGAGTGTGGACAGTCAACACGAAACTTATCCTGTCTCTCTCTCTCTCTCTCTCTCTCTCTCGTCCCGTTCCGGCCCTCCCGCACTCTTTTTCTTCTCGTACCTGACGAACCCATCGACAACGAGATTTCCCTCGTCTCGTCTCGTCGAGTTTACCCTTCTTCTTTTCTTAGATCCCCGCGCAACGTGCACTTTAGTTCGCCCACACGTCATGCATGCACGTACACGGATGCCCGCACACCTGATCATGTGCGAAACGGTGCATGTGTAGCATCTCCACTCGGGTCTCTCCATGTGTTTAGTAGTTACATATATCCCGACACGAGCTCGAGAGGAACTCCAGGCCGCAGTGATTCCCAACTGTATACATATACATACGTGGCCTATGTACGTGCCTACGTCCCGAGAATTCCTGCCAGCGACTAGAACCCGTTAATTCGGCTGTGCATTCGGCCTCCGGACGTTCTGTCACGTTCCCAGTTCCCTAGACGCGCACCGATCGTGCCTTATCCGTCGATCGCCTAGATTCCCACCGACGGGTATTTACGCAAATTTTGAGAAACCGCAATTAGGGAAACGGAAGTTCATCGTTTCCTTCTTATTCCTCCAATCCATTTTAAATGGCTCGACGCAAGAAGAGCTATTTGCGAAGCTTAGATAATTGACACTTGAGGATATGTGAAGGAATTTATGCTTCATTTCTAAACGTCAAAACTTTGATTGTCTTTCTTTTATAATTATCGGTCTATTAATTTGATCAGCTTATTTTATAAAGAATTCACTGTAGTCGTTACTTGATAAAACCGATTGCAAATTCAATTTGACTCATCTCTACATAAATATGACGCTTCCACTTTCGCACCAAGCCGCAGAATTGCATATTTAGTTTCCTACACGTGTGGCATATGCATCTGGTCACGAATGTCACATTTGCTCCGTAGCAGCTTTAAATAGGTTCGGCCATTTCGCGCTTACGTTCCGTACACATCTTGCGCAGTTACTGTTCGAAATACGACACTTTAAGAAGATATAAAACGTGGAAAAGGTATTTGTTTCAAAAGTAGGAGTAGCTTCTGAATTGATACAAGAAAAAGAAACGAGATCACCGACGCGTTCGTATGGATCCACTGGATTCAGTGATGACCGAGAACTTAATTTAATCTCGCGAATATTTGATAGTTCATGCATTTCGAATAACTCGAATTCGAAGGGGAGAGACTAAATACGAAAACGAGTTGAAGAATTTAAAACCATCTCTAGCCGTATTCTCCAAAATGCTCCCTCTTCCACGTCGCTCAAACAGAACCATGTAAACTCCACTCTACGTATTCCTATCATTTTATCGGAAAGTAATAAATTACCTGCCCTCCTCCCCCCTACCCACTCCCTCGTCTCTTATGAAGATATTCCCGGCGAACCTATTCAGATACAGGCGGTACACGATTCACGTGCATTCATAAAAACCAACCCCCATCGCTCCGAATGATATCGAACAGATCCATTTACTTTTATGCAGTTTTTTTAATTACTACAGATCGAACGTGTTATATAATTAACGAAATTAGTTACCGCTACGCGCGTTTGATAAAAACGAAAAATAGGAAGTATCTAGTGTTGGAATTATCCGATGACATTGCTGGGCTGCGGTTTTTATTCATTTACATAAGAATTAAATGTGAATGGAAAAATGTAAAAGCTGCGTGTAAAACTAGATGAAATATCAGAAGTAAGTTAAATGTTATTTTTTTTTGGTGTACAGTCAATTATTTTGTATAGAAATCCATGGTCTAATCAACGGGAATATGGGAGAAACATTTAACAGAATTCCGACGCGGCATCGTCGCCGGTTCGAAATGTCATCCTTATGCGATTGTATCGACGCTATAAATATCTCGTTAATACGAATTCTCGACGTCGGAGCCATGGCATTTCAGGCTCGTCCCACTCCTTTATTTATTGACCGTTTGTTTGGTCACTCGTTCTCGCAGCTTTTCGCTGTAACGTAAATCAAATTTGAAAGCTCGTTCGGCTGACGTGCAGGCTAATAAGAAACGCGATCTTCGACCCCGCTGATGTGATTGGGATTAAAAATAACTGTAGCCTCCGGGGACTCGTATCACCCTCCCCCCTCCGTTGCCAAATGAACAATTTCTGCGTCATATTTCTCTGTTCAGTATGACTGCTACAATTAAAACTGAACAGGAGACTGTTCGTTCCTGATAATAAAAAGTTTGTGTAAAAATTTCATTGCTTTATAACCGAGATATAACGTTTTAAAAATTTGCGAATTTTACGGAGTCTTATGGGAAAATGAATTTTCATTGACATTTTGCGATAGAACGAATACGTTCGAATGAGTGCAATATTGCCATATTTCATCAGAGATTAGTTTTCTTGATCCAAGAGCACAATTTTTTTATTATTTGTTCTATAGCAAAATGTCGATGAAAAT